TTTTTTTTTTTTTTTTTTTTTGTTAAAAAATGTAGAGAGTTTTTGGAAGGGTGTAAAAACTTTTTCCTAAAAGACCATTTTAAAGTTTGGAGGAAGTCGGAAAGGAAAAGCTCAAATAAGAAGTCCAAATAGGACCAAATGTGCGAGGCCGTTACATTATCGGATTTTGACCTCACTACTATTCATTTGAAAAATATTAATAATTTTAGTGTCAGAAAATTCCAGTATAAAAATGGTCAATGATACCCTTTAAAGAGAGGAAAATGACTTGAGAATGACCTGAATCTTGGTCTTCAAACTTCTATGTCCAAATTGAGTTCCTATTTGACATATACAACAGTATAATATATAGGCTGAATTAAAAATTGCAATATTACACGTAAATGTTTCAAAACTACTTTTAGAGTTGAAAAAAATTTAAAATCGACATGTCTAAAACATCATTCTTACAAACATAATTCAAACAAGTAATTGTCTTATTCACTACAATGTCGTTTCTCATATCCAATATTCTAAAGGATTTCTACTCTAACAGTAATTTTGAAATGGTTACGAAAGATCAAAGAGTAAATTGTAATTTTTGAAAGAAGATGCTTTTGAAACGCACAAAGGAGTATTTTTTATAATTTAGCCTAACAAATAATGGTTCCATGGTTCTTGTACAGATGAGTCCAGAATGTACATACTCCATGAGCACAGGGCATTTACCTCATTGTGTTGGGAATATATCGTCGTTGCTTCCATCTTCTTCCATGTCCAGATATTTGAAGTTGACATCGCCCCACCCATTACTCCCATAGTTAAAACTCGGGTTGACGTAGCATTTCAGCTCATGAAACAGGTTTAAGTTGTCCACAAGCTTGTGGTATGCACTGCATCCACAACACTGCAACAACAAAACAAAAGATTAAGATGATCAGTTTTGTGTCAGTTTGTAATAAAATTGTTTACCCGCAAATTTAAATTAGATTTGTCTACTCAAGCTTGCTTTAGGCAACACACTTTATTGGACCTAACAACTAAGATAGAATAGCTGCAAGAATATCAGCCAATTACATGCAGAAGTCTCACTAGGTTGCTAGCTGAATTCAAAGATCATGTGTGAGATCCCACGTTAGTCGGGGAGGGGAATGAAACATTCTTTATAAGGGTGTGCAAACCTCTCCATGGAAAACGTGTTTTAGCAGTGGACTTAAGCCATTACAGATGATATAAGGGGGTGGACACGAGGCCGTGTGCCAACAAGGACACTGGGCCTCAAAAAGGATGGATTGGGGAGTCCCAATCTATCGATTGGAGAAGGGAACGAGTGCTAACGAGGACGTTGGGCCCAGAAGGGAGATGGATTGTGGAATCTCACATTGGTTGAAGAGGGGAACAAAGTATTTTTTATTTTTTATATGAGTGTGGAAACCTCTCCCTAGCAGACGCGTTCCAAAAACCTAGAAGGGAAAATCCAAATAAGACAATATCTTGTTAGCGGTGGGCTTAGGCCATTTCTTTGACATCAATTCTTCCCCCAATATTGCTGAAACCATTTCAATAGAAAACCGAACAAAAAAATGGTAACTGTATTCTTCTACTCTGCCAACTCAATATATGCGCTTACATCGAATATTCCATAAGTGTTGTGAAATCTTACCTGCACAAACACAGTGCCATCGGTATAAGCATGGGGGTTAATAGCCCGTGTTGTACGTTGCCCACAAATGTTACAAGTAAAAGCCACAAGCATTCTACGACGAGGAGATTTCGTGAATAGGGACCAAGGGAAAGTGGAGACATTCCCTGTGCCTGATTTGGCCTCCAGCCCAGCCGGAGATGAGGGGCCTTCCATACCAGACCCTGTCGTCCACCCTCTTCCCGTGGCTGCACTAAGCACCACTCCCATTGCAATATCCTAATGCAGAAAGAACAATAATCTGGAAAACTTTACTGGAAGCTTCAATAAGATCGAATGGCAAACAAAAAGACCATACATCTAATTTTCAATAAGTGAGCATCATTAATGTTGAAACGCTACTTGGGCTACCGATTATTGATAATCCTCCCGACACTGTTATATGAATAGGATTCAAGCCAACCAATGGCACCTATATAAAGGTTCATGAACTCTCTTATTCCATAAATTATCTTTCTTCTTACAGAAATTTAATTAAGAAATTCGATCTAGTTTTTTTTTTTTTTTCTTTTTTTCTTTTTTGGAAGAAGAATGAGTCCGAAAGCACGAGATCAAAAGAAATAGCTGTATGTATTATATGTTAGATGATGAAAGTCTCACATCGGCTAATTTAGGGAATAATCATGGGTTTGTAAACAAAGAATACTCTCTCCATTGGAATGAGGCCTTTTGGGGAAGCCCAAAGAAAACCACGCGAGCTTATGCTCAAAGTGGACAATATCATACCATTGTGGAGAGTCGTGTTCGTCTAACATTATACAATATACTTCATCTCGTCGAAAACTCTAAATAGCATGAATTCTACTCATCTCACATTTGCAGAAACCGAAGGAAAAGAGCATTCAATTAAAAATGATATTAACCAAAATACAGAGAGGATACCTTTGAAAGAGGGGAAAGGGAGAGATGATGTTTACTGAGGATTGGAAGGTTCCTGATATTCTTCGAGTCAGACTGACAATCAGATTCGTTCTCGTTGCCTAAGAACTCATTCGAAGGCTTAGACAGGCAACTCAAAATAAGAACAACACAATAAATAGCTTCGAAGACCAATCAAAATCAACAATAAGCAGGATCGTTCCACAAGCACAAGCAGCCGCTTCGACAACACAACACTTACAGTTCTTCAAAATTATTAATCAAGAAAAGACGCAAACAGATAGAATAAACAAAAACTCGAAAACAATTCGGAGATAAATACCTTTGGAGGCGTGCGGAACTTGAAAAGATCTCAGAGGAAGCATCCTATTGGGAGAAGATATAGGAAAAGAGGAAGAAGAAGAGACAATCGCTGCAGAAGAAGCGTTGATCAGAGACTCCATAGCCAGGGAATCGAAAGCTGGAGCGGAGAGAAGCGAATCGCAGAGGAGAAGCCTCCGTAGGACAGCTTGAGAATCAAAATATCGCGGGTAAGCGCGCAGAGCTGTTAAGGACACGAAGGATTTATAGCCAATGTGGGCTCAAATTTCCGGCAATCGGCCCATTACGGTTCTAAAGTGTTCACTTGTATACTTCATAGTATTGTCTCTCATCTATATATAAACGATGATAGCTTCCTTGTCTAGTCGGGTGTACGCGGCCGGATCGTTCTTCTCGGTTGCATCATGACATTCTTCTATATTGGCCCATATGTAGCTCGATGACGCCTCTTGAGGGTCGTAGCTTTGCTTGTCTCGACGTGAATGTCACAACCTACTCTCTTTATAAATGTCAGTGACATTCTTCCTCACTTACATTAGTCATCGTTCTCGATGATTTTTCCAGGCACAGAAAATGAACCATTAAACTATAGATATACACTAAAGTTTGTTCGGTTAGTTGTTCGATTGTTTTCATTGAATTTCATTAGATTTTTTAGAATCAATATGATCAAATAAATTAAGAAACTATGATTGAGAAATTTCTACCAGATACGAGAAAAATAAAAAACTATGGTTGAACTATGCTTCTAAAAGTTTAGAATGGACGTCCACGATACAACGATCACGTTGAATCTTTCTTCAAATTCTTCACAAACACCTACACTGTAGAGACGATTTTAGAGGCCGTTGTTAAAACAATATGATCGATAAATTTCTCCATACTTTTAAAAGTTTAGAATCGACGTCCACGAATCCACCCGACTATACCCGGTTTCCTTTTGAATATTATTCTTCTCCATCCTCGTTCTCACTTCAGCAGCATCATTCCATCGTCCCACATCAGCATACATGTTATATAGCAGCACGTAAGGAGCTGCGCTTTCTGGTTCGAGTTTCATCAAGGCTTCAGCCGCGACACGAGCCATTTCAACATTGTTGTGCACCCTACAAGCACCAAGTAAAGCACCCCACACCGCTTTATCTGGTTTACAAGGCATGTTATTGATCAAACTCATTGCTTCTTCAAGCTGCCCGTGTCGACCGATGATATCGACAAGGACAGCATAGTGTTCAACTCGTGGTTCGATACCGTGAGCGTTAACCATGGAGTTGAACTCCCTCCTACCTTCCTCAATCAATCCAACATGAGCACAAGCATTCAGAACAGAAATGAATGTGATATAAGAAGGCTGCACATTACATTGCTTCATCAAGTCAAAAAGTTGAAGAGCCTCTGTTGCAAAGCCATGAGAGGCATACGCGCCAATCATCGCGTTCCAAGAAATGACATCTCTCTGAAGGTTCATTTCGTCGAAAACGGTTCGTGCCTCGACGATTGCTCCACATCTCGAGTACATGGTAACAAGAGAGTTGTTTATAGGCAAATCTGCAATAAATGCTTTTGTAATCAACTGATGAATCTGAGTTCCTAAAGCCAGATCAACCAAACCAGCGCAAGCACTGATAATTGATGATAAAGTATGTCTATCTGGTTTCTTACCCTCAAATTGCATCTGCAAAAAGATGTTAATGGCTCCTTTATAATCTTCATTTTTCTCATACCCAGATATCATGGAATTCCATGAGACAAGGCTTTTCTCTGGCATCCTAATGAACAAATCATGAGCTAGTTTCAAATTACCTATCTCAGCGAACCCCGAAATCATCATATTCCAAGAAAGGGTATCGGGATTCGACATTCTACCAAACAGATTCGAGGCCTCTTTCATATCCAAGATCTGAATGTAGCCACTGATCATAGTGTTCCATGAAAAAGTATCTCGCTCGACCATTTTGTCGAAGAGTTCTCGAGCAGAGACTATGTCACCAGCTCTCACATAGCTCATAATCATAGAGTTCCATGATACCACATTCTTCCCAAAGCTTCCATTTTCGTCTTCCTGTCGATTAGGGATGCAATCGAACAGTTTTCGGGCTTCTTGGATCATTCCTTTCTGACCATATCCAGCAATTAAAGTGTTATAAGCATGAACTAAATTCCCTCTACCATCACTCCCACCATATTGAAGCAAAATCCTTTCAGCTTCAACCAGTTTCTCATTCTGAATCAGACCAGAAACCAATGCACTAAGAGAAGCGGAGTCTCGTTCGGGCATCATCTTGAAGAACTCAATAGCTTTCTCCACATAACCATTCATTAAATAACCAGAAACCATGGCATTCCATGAGACAACATTACGCTCAGGCATGTACTTGAAAAGCTCTTCTGCTTCTTCCATCATCCCATTCTTGGCATACCCACTAACCATTGTGTTCCATGAAACACAATCTCTTTGTGGCATTTTATCAAATAGGTTTCGTCCACTCTCAATGTACCTTCCACCACAAGATATATAACCTGATAACATCAAGTTCCATGACACAATGTCTCTGTGAGGCATTTCATCGAACAACTGTCGTGCTTTTGTCATCTCTCTTCTTTTCACATACCCAGTGATCATCGTATTCCAAGTGATCGTATTCCGATGCTTAATGCTATCAAACAATTTTCTCGCTTCAATTATTTGACCTGTTCGAATCAAATAAGACATCCTCTTGTTCAGGGAATAGAATTCCGGAGCTTGAAAAGAAGAGAAACAGCTCTGTTTCAACTGAAAAGAAATGTTGAATGTAGTTGGACGACGGCGAACATACCGCTGAGCATTGAAGATTGTTAAAGCAGCTGTGTGAAAGGTCTTGGTTGACCAAATTCTCCGGCGAATCATCACCAAATTGGGCATGGAATGAACCAGTTGATTGTTTACTTGGCATTTGGAGAAGAAAGGAAATGTAGATTTGTTCTGTTTCTGCGTGAGGTTCGATTAAACGAAAGGACGGTGTTTGAAATTCTCTGATGATGCAAATTTGTAGGTTATATTTTAATTTTTAAATTATTTTCATTTCAATCTTTTATTATTATTATTATTTATTTATAATTTCAACCATTCTACTTTATTTAAATTTTTGGTTGAATTAAAATTTTAACTTTGAAATAATTTTTAAGAACTTTCTAAAAAATTATAAATAAATAAAAAAAAAAACTAGTTTTGTATTTGATAAACCTATAAATTGAAAATTAATTAATAATTTTTAGATTTTTTATTTTATATAAAAAAATTATTGACCTAACAAATAAATTTTAAAATTCATCATAAATTTTAAAATTCTATAAGCCCAATTTAGGAAAAAAAAAAAAACAAATTCTCTTTCTTGCGATATTTTTATTTAGTTTTCTATTATTTCCCTTTTTGAATCGAGTTCTGCCCTAGAAAGATCCAATTTTTTTAGAGTTAAATTTAAAAACTTAGTGGATAATTTTGATCTTATTGAACGGGTGAAGCTATATTCTAAATTCACAAATTTATAACCGTCCTACTGAATATTAAAATTGTTATTGGTCATCTCTCTATATTTTAGAAATAAAATCATTTTGCATAGAAATTATTTGTGATGTCCCACATTGGTGGGGTGGGGAAGAAAACAAACCACCATTTTCAAGGGTGTGGAAACTGAAGCTCAGGAAAAGTACAGAAAGGACAATATCTGCTAGTGATGGATCTGAGCCGTTACAAATGGTATCAAAGCCAGACACCGAATTATGTGTCAACCTTCTCACTGTTCCCCAAATAGGGGATAGACACGATGCGGTGTGCCAGTAAGGACACTGGGCCCCAAAAGGAGTGGGTTTGGAAGCGGTCCCACATCGATGGGAGGAAGGAAAGAGTGCTAACGAGGACACTGGCCCCAAAGAGGGGTAGATTGTGATGTTCCACATTGGTTGGGAAGGAGAACGAACCACCATTTACAATGATGTGGAAACCTTCCCCTAGCAGACGCGTTTTAAAACTTTGAGGGGAAGCCCGAAAGGGAAAACCCAAAGAGAACAATATCTACTAGTGGTGGATCTGGGTCGTTACAACTAAGCCCTATAAATTAGCGAAATCTCGCTTCATACTCTATAAGCTTGGAGAGTTTTCACCGAGTTTCCAACCCTAAATATTTTAGGAAACTTCACTCAAATATTTGAAGAGCTTCTTCCCATGAATATTGTACACAAAATTATCAAGAACTATGGTAGTGGTCAGTTTGCTAGCACTGATTTAGGTTGATATACAAAAGATGTAACCCTCTCCCATGATAACAAGCAAAATGGAAATTGAAATATACAATCAAAAATCAAGCACAATAAGCTCAAAAGGCCATTCATGCAACTCATTACACAAAGACAGCATATAAAATCAGCCAAAATGTGTAAAGTCAGTTGTAATGGACCTTTGAGCTTTGAGGGTAATAATAGCAAATGGCTGCCTTGAGAAATCATGAACTTGAATGAGAGATTTTACCCGAATCCTTTACAGAGTGCTTGCTTCATTGTTAGTCTCTAATACACCCATTAATCAGAAAGCCTGTGGAATGATAATCAGTGAAGATTAGTTAGATTGAGCCAAAATTAGCAGGTCCATCATCTAGCTTAATACAAGGTTTTTTTTCTTTTATTCATGGGTACCTCAACTACCTCAACTATTCTAACGAGACAAGTGTCTGATCCTACCAGATTTGATTGGTAAGGTAATTCGTAAGATTTAGATCTAAAGTAGGTAGTCTTTGGAACTCAATCCCTTGAGCTTTTTATTAATTACGACTCTTATTGACTATTGACTTTATCAGAAAAAAAGTTGTGAAACAAAGGATATTATTTAAGCTCTTTTCGTACACTTACGTCTATTAGGAATCACGATTCTCTACAATGGTATGATATTATCCACTTTGAGCATAAGCTCTCATGACTTTGCTTTGATTTCCCCAAAAGATCTCATACCAATAGAGATGTATTCCTTACTTATAAACCCATGATTTTACCCTTAATTAGCTAACGTGGGACTCCCTCCCAACAATTCTCAACAATCTTCTTCTCGAATGAAGTACACTATAGAGCCCTCGAACAGTCTCTCCTTAATCGAGGCTCGACTCCCTTTTCTAGAGCCCTCGAACAAAGTAATCATTTGTTCGACACTTGAGTCACTCTTGACTACACCTTCGAGGCTAGCCTCCCCTGAGACCTATGGAGCTCTCAAATAGCCTCCCCTTAGAGATGTATTCCTTACTTGTAAACCCATGATTTTCTTCTTAATTAGCCAACGTAGGACTCCCTCCCAACACTCCTCAACAAGGTCTAATCCTCAACCAGGCCTAATCCTGAGTTTAGGAAAGGAAATTATTGCAGGTACATTATTCTAGTAAAGGCAAAAATGTGCTTAAAAGCTGTACTGTACATGAGTAAGGATCCCTCTAAATTTACTCGCATGCATATCAGAAAATTAACATTTGTTTTGGCTGTCAGACATACGGATGTATACCTGGGCATATATAACTTGGAACTCACTTGGCAGCAAGTTTTTGTACCTCTCTTAACTATCCTAGGTTGACCTAGTAGTCATTGGAGCAAGTAAAAAAAATGTAAAGAAGCTTTGAAGACCTCCTTCCTAAGATATTAAAGTACTACAAGCTTTGACAATCTAATGTTGTAGGATCAAGTAATTGCTTCAAGATTTGCCAAAGTAAATGTAAGCTAGCTCAAATACTCACTCACTACTAACCTATGTATACTTTTTGTAATAAAACAAAGACAAAAAAAATAAATAAATAAATAAATAAAAAGGAAAAAAGACACTACCTCTCTTCTCCAAGAAGTCCGTCCAAATTGATCGCTAGAAAAGAAGGTTATAGCCATTCTTTGATCTTGGTCGAGGGAAAGAACCTTGGGATCTTTTTGTGATTCCTCATCTCATCTAAAACCATGGCATCCACCATATGTACATCTTCCCAAGATTTTTGTGAGAGACTGCTTCCGCAATTAATCGACGAGCCTGACCTTCGACGGCAAGGGGCAAAGATGGTGCAGCTCCAACACCAACAACTACGCCTTGTAACCTATCCTCAATGTTACTGATGGCTCGCTGTAACAGTATCAAAAGAGCATAGCGATTAGCTTGAGCAATTCAATGTGTTAAAAGCGGATAAGAAAAAGATTTTACAATCTATCAGTTTTAAATTCTTAAACTTAATACGTAGTTCAAACAACTAGAGATGAGATTCTAAGAACAAACAACCAAACCTGAGCATGAGGATTCTGAACTTCAACACCACTGGATTTGTGAGATTTTGTCCACTCCACGAGCGGATCATGAATGAAAGTTTCAAGTATGCTCATCAAAGTGTCCCGATGAGTCCTCAATACAGAAAGAGTAATTTCACAAACTCTCAAGAAAACACCCTCATACCCAGTGATTCCTAATCCATCAATCATGTTCTGATAGTAAAATGGCAACATGGAGGAGAAAAGCAAAAATTAGGGATACAAATACCATGGATAAAAGCAAACAGTAACTAAATTCGTCAATGATAGCATCTTGGAGATTAATGAAAATTTCTACATGGACTGCATAACAAATATTGAACCAAGTATAATTTGGCTGGTCTTACACCAAATAGTAGAAATTGGTGGTTGCTCATAATTCTTGAATATAAAGATTGCGCAAGTTTATCTGGAAGCTAAAATATAAATCATGTAGTTCTTACCTGGGTTAGCCTAAAAGGCACCAGTTCAGGCTTTTCAAGCTGCAGACCTTTGTCAAATAAACAACTGAAATCAACATGAACACAGTCACCCGTAGTAGAATCAAAAAGAATATTTTCACCATGCCTATCACCCAGCCCCACAATGTGTCCAACCATAGACCAAACTGCAGTTGTATGCGCATAAGCTATCCGCGCCCTAAACCAAGCAGCTGGTTCTGAAAAGGTATTCAAAAACCATCTATGGAAGATGGGAGGGAACATGGGAAGAATTTTTGTCTTCAGCATCTCATCTTCAGATATTTTACTTTGGCACTGGTCATATATTCGCTTAATTTGCGGATTTGTCTTCTGCCTATCAAACTTACCACAAGTTATATATACGTCTTGCAGTATATGTCTAAGACCACGGGTATGAGGAACCCATTCTACCATACCACAATCCTCTGTCAGAGGTATCACAGCAAAGGTGCGTATGTAGAGCTTCCTCCGGCGGCTTTCTGGATATTTGGATAATAAACGGTTTATCATAGCTGTGAACTCCATCATGCGAGCATCCTTCCGGAGATCATCTTTTGGTTTGCAGAGGAATGGCCGCTCAATACCATCACTACCCAACAGAATGATCTGTAACAAAAGAAGGGTTTACAGTCAAGTTAGTAAGGCACGAATCATCGAATAATTATACTAATATACAAGCCCAAGAAGCCAAAGAATTTTATTTTATACCTATTCAAAGAAGCAATATAATTACATAGTTAAAATTGAGATCATAGCAGGGAATAAAATTGAGATCATAGCAGGGAATATAAATTTCTCTGCTTGCTTCACCTGCGCTGTATGGGCTAGTTGAACTATGGTGGCTCTACAAAAATTATAAAAATAAAGAAAGAAAGAAGAAGAAGCAACCTTCTACTGCGTATCTTAAATAATGTAACAACTATGATGAAAAGCTACCTTTTGTTGAGGATTATTGAGAGGAGTAGTCCCACGTTGGCTAATTAAGAGAAAGATCATGGATTTATAAGGAACACTATCTCCATTGGTATGAGGCCTTTTAGGGAAATCAAAAGTAAAGCTACGAGAGTTTATGCTCAAAGTGGACAATATCACACCACTGTGGAGGTTCGTGATTCCTAACATGGTAGATCATGGATTTATAAGGAACACTATCTCCATTGGTATGAGGCCTTTTAGGGAAATCAAAAGTAAAGCTACGAGAGTTTATGCTCAAAGTGGACAATATCACACCGCTGTGGAGGTCCGTGATTCCTAACATG